GCAAAGTAATTTTATATATCTTAAAACCAATATTGGTATTGCATACCTGCCAATTTAGCACACATTTTAGCAGAAAAAGGAGAAATAATGAAGTGAGAATGTTTATAAAGTTGTGAACAATCAGTTGAGTCATAGTTTTCAAGAAACCAAGCTGTTTACTGGTATTTAAAATTTGTGATAAATGTTAATTACTACCCAAGGTGCCAAATTTCCTACTTTCATTAATTACTAATAAACCACACATTCATATAAAGTTAATTTTTCCAAAACTCAGGAGGTAAAATGATACCAAACTCACTAAGTTATATAGTTCTGGTAACCACATGAAAAGATTAAGTGTTTTATATTTTAGAAACTGATAAAGAGGGCAAGTCATTTTTTTCATGCTGGAAGAGGCAGTTACTTGGTTATTTCAGACAAGCTGTATTTGAAAAGTCTAAATTGGAAGATGCTCATATAATCTCAACAAATACTTTTTGGTAAGAGATCTTCAGTATGGACTATCTACCACAAATATCTTCGGGCTAGAGCTATTAAAACAGATGTATATTTTTATTTTAATGTCCCTGAGCAGCTGCTTATTATACTTAATATTACCCATCATTTTTATCACATTTATATATGTACATGTATTTATCAAGAAAAATTCATATGTTTAATAATCCTTAATATTTCATTCCTAAACCATTTGAAATCTCCAGATTAAATTTCAGTTAGTTTTTGGATTGATTTGTGTTTTAGTTCAGCCAGTGATTAAGCTGAATTGACTGAATTAACCAGATGCTTATGCAAAATAGATAAAGCCTTTGTCTCAGGGACACTAGACATTTGTTTGGTGGAAAAGTTAACATTAGGTACTTGATAATACTACTTAATACTCTTCTATTATTAGACAATGCTTAAATTCAGTTTTCTTCCTACACTAGTGACAAATAACCCTGGCTGTATCCTCCTGTGGATCACATTACCAATAAAGGGTTATTATTTCCTTCTTAGGAATGAGAAAATGTTGTTCTTATTGAGAACCTAGAAACGCAGGGCCAAGATTCTCCTCAGTTTTGCATCTGCCCTTGCTCAGATGCATAAAACTGAGATTCAGTTTCTCTAACCACTTTTGAAGATCCCATAGATCTTTCTTTTCCATTTTGAAGATACGTGGTACAACCTATGATCATTCTTAGAAAGGCATGTAAGAAAGGAAAAATTAATCAGAAATAAGCCAACATCAACCAAAACCCCGGATATGTTTTGCTGGAACTATTCCGCAGCTGAAACTTGGGAAAGAGACAACATTCGCTCTCTGTTTTGTTGAATAAAGCTCATAGACTTGTGTGGTAGGTCTTCTTGTCTCTGCTTTATAAGTCTCAAAATTTAAATAACAAACCCAAAGTATCTAAGTAAGTTGTGAAACTGATATTCAGGCCCTTGTCCATCCAAACCCAACAGTGGTGACCTTTTGTTTGGCCAGGCTGCCATCTACCTTAACACACGTACTCAAGGCCACAGAGCATTTATAGACAAAGAAGCAAAACTAAGGGTGGGAATGCGACTAGTGAAACTGTGTGAATGCGTGTTGGGTCATAGTTGATTCACAAGGAGTTCCTCGCATGTACCCAGATCACTGCGGCAGGTGCGCAGTGAGATTCAGACTCAGACTGGCAAAGCAGTCAGCATTTCTAACGTCAAGGTATTTCGCTGCAGCATATAAATGAAAAATACTTAAAGAAACATTTCCAGCAGATTAAAGTATTTGATAGCAGAGTGATGTTTCAGAAACATGGTTGTGACCTAGGAGTATAGACATTTGGCCTAAAAAAAGCCTTATTTTTATGATACCAGTTGTCAAATGGGTCGGCGGAACAAAGTGTTCACTTACATCAATGTTTACTTCATTTTATTCATGTTGATCTATTATTCATTTCCTTTTCAGGAAGCATCGCCATCATTGTGCCTCTTGTCCTCTTGGTGGCTTTGATAAGCACCTTAGTGATTGGCTTAGTGCTTTGTAAAAGGAAAAGAAGGTAAGAAAGATGCGATAATCGAGTCTAACAGTAAATACATTAAAAGTTTCAGAAACATAGTGATTTTTAAATTTCTTAAAATGTGGTTTAGTTATTCCAGCTGCAAAACATATTTTTCAAAATGTTCTTTCCCTCTATTTCATCTTAAGTGATGACATTCAGACAGTCCTTCCCTATGTTATGTTGATAGAATGGCTCCATTTATATATTCTAACAAAACTAACAGGGGGTATATTAATTAAAATTTTAATAGACTCTTACGTTTGTGGTAGTTTCCTTGAAACAGCCAGTCTTTTTTTTTTCTTTTAAAAATTAAACTTTTTTTATGTATTAATGTGTAAGTTTGGTAATGTCAATACAGTCATACTCAGTATGCACTGTATATCACAAATTGTTTATTTCATTCACAAATTATACATTTATTTATTGTATACAGTGCTGGAAATATAATTATTCCAATTTATCTGAATATGCAGTTACAAAGCTCTAAAAGGAGTGGATTGTTTGTCAGGTTATCATCCAGAACTAAGCGTTGGTCAGGTTTTTAATTCTATAAATGAGGCTTATAGCCATGTGACTTGGGGACTGAAACAATCTATTTCAAAGTTTCTCTACCACTATTTTTTTTAATTAAATAGGAAAAGAATTAAAGAGGATAAGTGAATTTAAAAGATAATTGATGTATTGAATATTTGCTTCTAACTAATGTGTTATTAGCTATTATGGGGAACATGTTCCATGTGTATTTTTTATTGTTAAATCTAAATAATTGGGAAAAAATAAGATGACATCAAGACTTGAACTTTCCATCAGTTGTATTAAAATAATCAGAAAATCTACAAGTATGGTAATTTTCATACACCATGACTGTCATGTTTAGACAACTCACACCTATATTAATGCTCACATATTCTAGGACAAAAACTATTAGAAGACAACCTATTATCAATGGAGGAATAAATGTAGAAATTGGCAATCCATCGTATAACATGTATGAGGTGGATCATGATCCCAGCGATGGAAGTCTTTTAGATGCTGGTTTTATGGTAGATCCAACAAAGGTAATGTTTTAAGATGATGTACAATAAGCACTAACATTATTGAGTCATAACTCTAAAATATCGTTCTTAATTTCATCAGCCTTTGTTTTATCTAGAGTTACAGTAAAGAATTTAGGATGAGTTGAATGTGATACTCTCTTCTAAAGAAAAAATAAAATTGTAGAGTGTATTCATCTAAAGCATGAAATTAATATAACATGTTTTGGAAATTACATATTTATTTATTTACTTAATTTATAAACATGTATAGTTTACTTAAAATATCTATGCCAACATGTTAGCATATCTAAATGTATAGCCTTGTATAAAAATACTGATTTTTCAATAACATAGTTTGTCACTGTCAAAATAAGTATTTTATTCCAAAGTGTTTCACTAAAGAGTCAACTACGCTGTGCCCTTAGATTTGTTTGTAATCAAATCACTTTAAAAAATTTTTTTCTATCTGCTCTAATATCCTTCCTGTTGATTTCAGACGTTATTGATATATATATAGCCTAAAAAGTTATTTATTTTTAAAAAGACTCTATTAGTTTGTTTTACTGTATACTCAGATTGACACCTTTTAAGAGAAATTAATAAATCATACAATTATCCAGATAAATTTGCAAATATTTACTTCACTGTATTATCTGCATATTTTGCATGATAATTGTAAACTATTTTACTGTGAATTAAGAACATCAGTTTGCTATTATAGAATGATTTTTCTCATCTTGTTCATTCATTTATTGAAGTTATTTATTTTCTGATACATGAAAGGTACTTTGTCAAAAGTATACCTTTATATTGTAAATAATCATGGTGACCAATGTATGTCCAGATTTTTTACACTTATAGCAACAGTTGTTCCCAAAGAAGTTGAATAGGTTCCCATACATTTAATCTAGTTCTGAATCCGTGGTCAGACTTTCCAATACTGAAATTGATGGCCAAGTATTCATCTTTCTGGAAAAAAAAATCATTTTTTGCATGTATAAATTTTTACACTATCAGAAAATATTGTGATTTTTTTCCTAATTAGAAATAATTTTATAGCTACTGTTAATCATTAACTCATTAACTAGCTCCTACATTTGAAACTGTTCATGAAATAAATCCTGGAAACCTAAGTTTCAGTGTATTCTACTTGAAATTAAAGAACAATATAGTACACATTGTGTTTTGAAAATTTATCTATGAAGGAGACAGTCATCTTAAATAATAGATTTCTCATATTGTTTGAATTTTTCTTAGGAAAAAGTACAGTGTCTCTAAGGACAAAATGGAATGATGAGAATATACTTTATATAGTTTTCATAAGGAAAATTCTCATTTTCCCCATCATTTTTATTTCTAGTGATAGAATTAAGCCAATTTTGGTTACTTAAATAGCTTTTCAGTACTTCATTTAAAATTTTTTCCACATTTACTATAGGAAGATAAAACTATGCTTCAGTGCCCTTCAAATATATTTTTAATGTACTTGGCACATAACACTCAATAAATATTTACTTACCAATTTGCTGACTGATTGACCAAAATTATATTAAGTGTGACTTAGATGTCTAAATTTATCTGGCTCCTGATGTTTGAAATGAAAATAGGAATTGTTGCCTAAGAAGTAACTTCAGAGAACATAATTCATCCTAATAGGTACACACAATTTTGAAATGCAGAGGGTCACACTGATGCCACCTTAATGATTAAATGTTTTTTATAGATTATATACTGTGTCTCAATGGTTTGATGGATTCCTGATGTGATTAAATGTAAATTGCATTACACATAAAAAATATTCTGTATAACAATCATTTTTGTTATTTTCAAAATGGATAAAATTTATACTTCAATAATACCTTATAATTAAAATAATTGAAATAGTAAAGTTAATGAAAAAGATTTGATTATGGCGGCAATCACAGAATGGCTTGAAAAGTTCAAAGGAGGGGAATTAGTATTTACTTATTTTATCCCCAAATTCATCTCAATACTTACTTGGGCTGATTTCCATACCTTTTAAATCAGACCTTTGTGGGGGAAAATAAAGAGACAAATTGATCTTATGTTTATTTTTTTTTCCTGAGACCCCTGCCCTTGTCTCAAACTTTGTGACCATTAATTGTTAAGAGGTGATAGTTCCAAATGTTTTTTAAAATATGCATATTAATTAATATTTTTATACTTTTCAATTTTTCATCTAGGTTTTTTTTTTCTTTTTGAGTCACTAATCAATATTTTATCATGTACGTGAGCATACCAAATTGGCTTATCTGCCCTTAGACCCAAGAAAGTCTAGTCAATGTTCTTGCCTAGAGATTTAGTGAACCAGTTTAGTTACTAATTAATGTGTTGTAGACCAGAGAGTCAGATTTCCCAAAATAAAGACGTTTGTTTGATATGTCAAATTAATTTTCTTTTCTAAAAATACAGAGTGGTGATGAATCGTTAATTAGAAGCAGTCAGATATTTAAGCATCCAGAATGGTCTATCTACTGTCAGAACTTTTTAAAGTGACAAAACTTTAATTTGGGGAGGTTGGTATATTTTTCACAGAGTTATTAATAAAGATAATTTTTGGGGGTAGGATAAAGTAAAATAAAGAGAAATGAATGGAAGTTTCTGGAAGCATGGCATGTCTATCAATAAGCTGTACATAATAAGAATGTCTACAGATTCAATTTTAATAGTTCTTTCTTAAGTTATTAAAGCCACCTTGAATACACTGTTTCATGCCCAGGGCTAAAGAGTACTTTTTATGTTGTTTGTATGGCTTAACGTGAATTTATGTCAATGAAAATAGTTCGATGATATTAGATCAGAAACTAAAATTCTCTGTTTACATACAGGCCAGGTATATAGGGGGAGGGTCCAGTGCTTTCAAGCTTCCACACACAGCGCCGCCCATCTACCTAAACTCTGATTTGAAAGGACCGCTAACTGCCGGGGTGAGAGAAGAAAGTTCATTATTTCATATCCATTCCATCACAGAACCCTCACGATCAAAGGTGATTGCTGGTCTGAGATAGAGACTTGTCTTTAATTGAGTTTTTAATTAACAAGAGATTTCAAAAGAGCAGTCAAATTGGGGGCTTATGTTATGTGTCCTGCCTATGCAAGATTACATATAAGACATGTTATCATTTTAGGCAAGCTCTTAAGTAGAAATATCTCTTCTGCTGGATTTAAGAATGTGATTCTGCTTCAACAATAAACGAGTATTTGATATTCTCAGAAATAAATTGCTAGTTAGAAATTTAAACAATAATTTATACTTCAATCTATGTTTGGTTTTATTCACTTCCTACTAAGATGTTTTATTTAGTATATGAAAATTAGTGTCCAGTCATATAAAAATGTATTACAAGAATGGCACCATATTGAGAAATCAGAAATGGTTTAATGAAACCATTTAAGATTTTTTAATTAAGTAACTGGTTTCTAGAGAAAGATGGTCTGTCTAAAATTACATGGTTCCTGTTCGAAGAGGGACAAAACAGAGGTAATCAAGGGTCCTGGGAATGAGTATTTCTCCCTTGCAGTGCTCCCGTCAACTGTTCCTCATTCTCATTTTTTATCATGTTTGTCTCGTTCGCATGGCTCAGAGATAATAGTGTTTCTTGTTTGTAACCAAGACTTAATGTTCTTCCAGTGGAAAGATAAACCCGAACTAAATTCCTTGGGTTAAGTTGTAACTGGTAAAATAATGAATATTATATGTGTTTTTCAACTGAAAGAGATCACTTCTGCATGCCTCAGGTCAGCTTCAAAGGGCTCTAAGTATCTACGAAACTTACGTTGACAGCTTACTTCGCAATTCCTTGGAAAAGTCACCAAATATTTCCAATGATAAATACGTATAGATTGTTTGAAGCAAAAATATTGTCTTTATTTTAAAGTCTACTCTGCTGATATATTTTACTTTCATTTTTCTTTGTTTTCGTGTTTTAAACTTCATAGTGAAAAAGTATAAGCACCCAGCAATTAGATGACTTCCTGTAAAGACATCTTTCCTGACACTGTAATAGCAACAGAGGGAAAACATGGACCGGAAATAAGACAATTTGGTTTAATATTTTATGCTTTTAAATAAAGTATCTGTGAATATAGATTCCACAGATATTTTTGGGGGCTTTTAATATTATGTCAAAGCTCCCCTTAGGTTCACAAATTACCTGAAAAATAAAATTATGTTTGTGTCTAATACTATGCTCAAATCAACTAAAGCCTATAAACAGACTTAATAGTAATTTAAATAATTACTTTTTAGTACATTAAATGTATTGCATATAAATGTATGCATAAATATCTAAGTGGAAGATAATGTGGTAAAAAATGATAAAATTGTGTTTATTTATTTTTCTCTCCTTCAGTCAACAAATTACTCCAATCCAGTGTATGCAAAATTATATACGGATGGGCAAAACTGTCGAAACTCCTTAGGAAGTGTTGATGAAAGGAAAGAACTACTTCCAAAGAAAATTGAAATTGGGATAAGAGAGACAGTGGCATAATGAGTGATACCTTTTATATACTGTATAAATGTATAAAATATAAGGATTACTTTTGTATGTTCCAACAGTATTATACTTGTTTTGGCATCAGCATTACACTTTTTCTTTATCTTTTTCCTGTTTAATTGTTTTCTGAGTTTTTCTGGGTTTTATTTTTTGCTGATGACTCTTGACTGACCATTTATTTGTATGGTATTTTTATGAAAAAGAACTGCACTACAGTACAATTTACAACGATGCTGCTGATATGACACACCTTTGAATTTGTTAAAATAACAAACAACATATTCCTTTGTAGTGTGAATATGAGCAATCTATTTTATATGAACTTTTTTGGTTCCACTTAACTACAAAGAGAATCTCTGCACTTTTACATTATATGGGCTGAAGGCTATAATACAATGTCATTTTATTTTTCCATTCAAATTGATAGAAGAATGATTGAATGGTCAACCCTCTTCTTTGTACCCATTAAGGTTGAGTCAGCTGCTGAAAATAGATAGCCCTCACAAGCTCAGCATTGCCTGCTTTGAAATTAGCCTTAGACTGCCAAGTGATAGACAAGAATTTTGAGGAAAAAAAACCTTAAAAAAATATATAAAATGAATAATTTGCATGAACACATATGACTACAACATTTTCCAAAATTTAGTGGACTCTGTGATATACTAAACATATACACCCTGTAAACAATAGATATATTTAGGCAATAGAACATAGCAAAAATATAACTGAAAGTGGAAAGACCATACTTTTGATGGACTCAAAACTTTTGTTCTTTCTCAGTCCTGAGGTAAATAGCCAGCCTAGAGCACAACAAGGCATTGGGCACTCATGTCTGAGGAATTTCTTTCCAGTCACGTGCATTTTGTGGAAGATTAACCCAACCCCTCCCCACACAGACTCCTGAACAATAATATATAAGCACACAAATTGATGACAGAATTTTAATTACGTAAATGCACTCTCTTTGCCAGGTCAAAAGGAATAAGCAAAATAGCCAGTATAGTATAGAGGAATTAATACCTATTTTCAATATACAATATGACTGATCCATATTTTCCCTGTCCAAAATTTATTCCTTAAGGACTTTGCAAGTTACTGAATGACAATTGTCTGCCCATAATCAAAGGTGGAGAATATAAATGCTGACCAGTTACTCCGGTTTCTTTTGGTTATGCAAAACATATGGACCCCATTCGCTTTCTCTTTATTTGTTTTCAAAGTTCGATCCACCCAAGGATGATATATTTAAGTTGTATAAAAAAGATAACATTTTTATACAAATATAAACTTTAAAGGCACAAAAGATTTAGTCACAAGGTATGGAGGGCTTTTTGTTCCTCTGATAGACATGACTGACTTTTAGCTGTCATAATGTATTAACCTTACAGATGAAATATGTTTGTGGTTGCTCTTTATCCCTTTGTACAAGCATTAAAAAAAAACTGCTGTTTTATAAGGAGACTTTTTGTTGTACTATGTGCATGCATACTACCTATTTCTAAACCTATTTGCCATATTGAGGCCTTTATAAATGATTGATTTATGTAATACTAGTGCAATTTTGCTTGAACAATGTTATGCATATCATAAACTTTTTCAGGTTCTTGTTTAAGTACATTTTTTAAATTGAACAGTATTTTTCATTTTGGTTATAATAGTCATTTTGCCTATGTTTCTACAATGAAGTGTTAAATACTTTATAAGAAATTGTTGACTGACTTATTTAAATGAAATTCTACATATTTAAGAGCTTGTGTTGGGTAGTTTTTAAAAATCAGAAAATTCCCTTCTTGATCGAGTTAAATATTCCTAGAAAACTATTTTAGTAGACCTGAGACATAATTTTTGTTTTATCCTTAGAACGTACTCTCTGGGGTAGGATTGATTTCATTGCATCATTTTGAAAAGCACAATTGAGAAGAGATTTTCTCTCTCCTTGAAGCAGAAATGTCCCCTTACTTTTCCTTTCCTCCTGGCATAATTTCTTGTGTTGGACTCTATATTGCAAAAAAACAGAAAAGGAAGATAGTTTGTGCACACAGTAGTATGACAATTGTTACTGAAATAAGCCAAAGCTCTTCCTAGCCATTTCCAGTCTCAAAAATGCTTTATGGAAAGCTGAAATTCCATTAGTTGCTCTTGGGATGCTATTTTGTAAGTGGAATGGTTATTCATATATTTACTTGGATATCAGACTAGAGGCACAGATCTATGAGGGTCTGATTTACTGGAGCTATCATTGAGGTACAGTGTCTGAAGGAGCCCTTTTATATCAGAGCTTTACAAATGTAACTGAAATTGTTATTTGAAAAAAAACAGAACCCACCATTTAGGATGACCATGATTCACCTAACATTAATTATAAATATCTAACAAATCATATATGATATACAACCAACCAACTAACACTCAGGGTTGAGCATCAGTGACCTGTTTTCTCTCTAGGACACTGGCGAGAGCCATAGTCAAGTGCGCAGGATGGACTTTTTAACCCTCGGCCCTATCTGCATTTTCACAGCCCTTGTATCCCCACGGTGTTTCCCCATCCTGTGCTGGTTCATTCAAATCCACCTCAGCATCCATAGTCTTTCAATGTGCAGTTACTTTGCTTTCAGTCTTTGCAGGACAAAGATAGCTTTTCAACTACTCAAACTTAAATTAGTCTATTTCTATAGCTGTAGCTCCATTTCAATTTTGTTTTGCAAAATCTCATATAAATGCTAGAAATTCAGATGTACAGTTCTCTACAGTGACCCTCTTTTATAAATGCCATTACACAAATTACTTCCTGAAGTATTCCTCCAAGCTTTGATGAGACATATCTTCAAAAAAGTTGATGCTTCCTGGTAAACTCTCCTCCCTGCCCAACTGCCTCTTCATTTTGGGTGGGGTTTTTCAACCTCTTGACATTTTGAGCCAGGTAATTTGTTATTCTTCAATGGTCAGATACTTAGCAAGCAGGAACCCTGCCCTCTATCCATTAGATGCTACTAGAACCGCCCAAAGTTGCAAAAACCAAAATGTCTACAGAGATTGCCATGTATCTTGTGGAGACCAAAGTTTCCCTTGTTAAGAACTGATCTCAATTGCTGATTCAAATATACATGTTCTATCTTCAGTATTAAATAACTGTCAGCTGGAACAGCTGAGTCAAAAAAAGACCCTTCATCATCAAAATCATGGCTTTCTGAAGTTTGATTTTAATTCTTTAATGCTGATGATGCATGAGTTATAGTTACAGATATTTGGTATTGGTGAAATGCCCATGTTGGAAAAAAAGAAAAGTCATTACTAAGAGGAAAAGTTTCATTTAGAAACTTGCAGTTTTGCGTAGATTGGGCCATTTGCATTATATAATTTCATTTATGTGAATGTGTCTTTTTTGTGGCCATATTGATGTCATTGACGATTATGGTTTATTTAGTTTTGCATTTGATTCTATGCTTGTTGGTTCTTGAGGCTGAGATTTAAGCTTGCACATTTCTTCTAGAATGTTGCTTTTCATTTTTCTGATGACTCAGATATGAAGGAGTCATACCCCATGCATGGTATGACTGTCTGAACTCTAGTTCATAAAATGCCCACAATTTCCAACTCCCTAACAGGCAAACTTGGTATATGTAATGAAGGAAATTAAAAATGTACTGTTTATTTTCCCTTATCCTCTCACATCTCTATGTCTTCAAAAACATAATCTGACTGTAAAATTGTATTTCCCTGTAGAATACTACTACTATTTACAAATTAAACTTTTTCATGTAGTATTACTTTAAAGATTAAAATATGTGAGAATAAGACTGGCAGAGTTGAGCAAAATACAGCTAGGCACTTTGAAAGCAGTTTTTCCACCTGAAGTCCCATTCAGGTTGTCAATTCATTTAACAATTACTTTCTCAATATTAGATGATATACTTAAATTTAACATGGTCATTATTTAATAGGAATGATTGAATAGTAACTTACAAGAAAAGGAGAGATTCAAATACTTCCTTGTGAACATGATTACCAGTAATAAAGCAAAAAAAAAGGATGTGTTCTGTGCATTTTGAATGTGAGAAAGATAACAGAGTCAAAAAATGGTTTATTTTTCAATTCTGATACCAATTCCATTGCTAACTTAACAAATACAGGAAGTTAATCCATCCAGAAAAAAATTAAAAACAATTAAAAATAAAAACAAGCAGTTTTACTTTTTTTCATTTAGTTTTTATTTTAATTGAAGTACAGTTGGTATACAATATTATATTGGTTTCTAGTATGCAGCATAGTGATTTGACAGTAGTCTGCATTATTAAATCCTCACCCCAACTAGTATAGTTAACATTTGTGAACATAGAATGATGCTGAAGGACTGCTGATTATATTCTCTATGCTGTGCTTTCATTCCCCTAACTAGTTTATATAAAAAACATGTAATTTTTGATGTTATCATTTCAAAGGCCCATGAACATATACTTCATACAATGCTAAGCATATATCTAGTCTAAAGCAGGAAGAAGTTAAATGAGTTATCTTGTTTAACTTTTCTCTAGTAGATATACTTAAGGGCTGCAATGAATTCTAAAAAATAGTTTCCAGTGAATCCCATCATTTTTTGGATCTAAACTGATCAAAAATCAAAAGAAAAATTGGTACCAAAGATGGCTTATTTGATAAATTCTATGCTTAGAATGTATTCATTCTCTCTGATGGATAGTCTGCTGCTTTAGCTGGAGTTTGTAAGATACCGGTGAACTTAAGCAATGCAATATGCATAGTCATTTGTTCACTCCAAGATAATTTTTCAGCTGTAGTTTCTCCTGCATTTTTAATACGTAAACTATGAGCATCCTGCTGCAACTTGAGTTCCAGCTTACTTATACTGTAGTGGCTCAGAGAACCAATAATAAAATTGTTCCTAGCCTTTTGAAAAATAATGTCCATCATGAAAACCATATGCAATGTTACTCAGGTCAGTAATATAAAAATTTATAAGTGAGAAAATATTTTTCACACACAGAATAAATTGAGAAATATAGTTTATTTCATAGAATAACATTTAGGAGTTTGAAATATATGGCTGTTCATGGAGATACTTAAAAAATATATATGGAGATTAAGTTTAGGGTGAGATGAATGATGAGATATATTCCTGAATAAGTAGTGTCAAAAGTTAAGAAATGACTGGACAGAAGAATTTCAGACATGGGAACATCCATCCTTACAGTCTACAAGTGTTAATGGTATGTTTGTGGACATCTATATAAATCTATTTGTTTTTGTTCAGCTCCTTGTTTATTCTATATAGGCTGTATTTTGATTGGTTTTAGTTTTCTCTTTTGATTTGAAAGTTATTTATTTTATTATTTGTTCTGCTGGTAAATATTTTGAACCTTAAAAAGTATTCTAATATAAACCCAGAATTTAAAGACAAGTCTTTTTTTTTTTCCTCTCTAAGATGGGGAATTTAACATTCTTAAAGTTCCCTAATCCAACTCACTTTCATAGTCTTTATTAACAGTTTGTGATTTCAATTTGACAATATTTTAACTGAAGCATTATTTCTATATCCTTTGTCTTAATTATTTGAAATATTTTTAAATTTAATATTTCTCTTTTTAAACTCATCATCCCCTTTATGGTATGATTTTTTTCATTCTTAATTCCTTTATTTTGAATGAAGTCTTATTTTATTAGTATATTTCATCAAGTATGCTTTATCTGTGTTGTATTTGCTGAGCTTTTGCATTTACACAAATATTTCTCAAAGACCTTTAAATACAAATGTTAACTGACCTGGATATATATTTCTGAGGCTTTTCCTTTTCCTCCAAAATTATGTCGGACCCTCCTCACTGCCTTCTGATATTCAGTGTCATTAAGGATGAGTCTGAGACCAAACAGAGTTTTCTTTCTTTGTAATATTTTTCCCCAGACCTTAAAAAAAAAACAACCATTACAATTAAAGTATTTTGCCATATATGCACACATCTTTTTGTTAATTTTGTTTACTTAATACAATCTGTTTTTGGATGAGATTTGTTTTCTGCAAGATGCCTTTATTACTTCTGTCCAAATTGTTTTCTTTTAATACACAGGCACACCTACAGTTCTTAGGTTAAATCTTCCTTTTTCCTTAACCATTTTAATATTTTTTCTCCCTCTTTTTTTTATTCCTTAAGAGATTTTCAAGTTTCTGGCCTGCATTCCTGATTTTACCTTTTGCCTGCAGGCTAATTGATTTGAGCATGTGGGAGTGTGTGTGGCAAACATGTATGTGTCCCAGGGATGAGCCCTTCCTTAGCTTAGCTTCCTTTTTAACTCAGTTTTTAATATTTCCATTTAGTGTACTTTCTTCTCATTGTTTTCTACCCAGGTGTCATGATATCCATTTCCTGTTTCCTATTTACAATACCAATCAATTTTCTAAAGTTCTCTTTGTAACAATTTTGTAGGTCTAGAGAAAGTTGTCTTCATGTCCTTATCCTATGACATTAAAAAAGACATGATCCAGAGTACTTTTTTTTCTTTTCATTTACTAATGGCTAATAACAAAGAAGACACTAGACTTCTATGCTGCCCCACAGATAGGATATGCAATATTAAGTTTTTCCCTCTTTTTATCAAGTTCACACCTCTTAATTATCATTCTTAGGTGTGTAACTCCTGGTCCTTTCCTCCCTCATATATCCTAGTGGATCTCTCTTAGAACCCAGAGTGGTTA